CCTAAACATGGATGTAATAAAAGAATAATTTGTAAGAAATTAATGGATGGGGTAGGACAGTACATAGGGCAAACCTTTTTAAGATTATGAGTGAGGAACCAGTACCCAAGAGTCATCGTTATATAGCCTAGCACTGATTTACAAATTGTATTGTCTTGTTGCTGCATTCTTCCACATATAGCACTTCACTTAAAAATAATACAAAGAATCTACCATTGGCTAAGCAAACAGAAGCAAAGATAAAGAGAGCTATATTAAATTGGAAGCTTCTGCACCTCAAAGAAAATGATGTATAAAATACAAAGATACTCCACAGATTGGGAGAAAATTATTTGCCCATTATTTATCTGATAAAGCACTAATATCCAAGATACATAAAGCAGTAGAATTTTATAAGAAAATAAGATCCAATCCCATCAAAATATGAGAAGAGATGAACAGAAATTTTCTCAAAGACATAAATGGTCAAAGACATATGAAAAAATGCTCTGTATCTTGTTAGAGAAACACAAATCAAAACAAGATATCATCTGACACATCAGAGATCAGCACATATCAAAAAGAACAAAAACAACCAGTGTTGGTATGGATACAGGGAGAAAGGGACACTCATTCACTGCTGATGGGAATGCCAACTGGTCCATGCTTTCTGGAAAACAATATGGATATGCCTCAGAAAACTAGCAATTGAGTTTCCATTTGACCCAGCAATGTCACTTCTTGAAATTTACCCCAAGAGTCCCAAAACACAAGAAATGACAACTGCACTTCTAAGTTCACTGCAGCACTATTAACAATAGCCAAAACCTGGAAACAATCCAAGTGCCCAAAACAGATGACTGGATAAAGAAACTATGGTGCTTATACACAATGGAATGTTACTCAGTCTTAAGAAAAGATAAAGTCATACAATTTACTGAAACATGGCTGGACCTGGAGAGTATCATGCTGAGTGAAGTTAAGTCAGTGGAAGAGAGACAGATATAGAATGATCTCCTTTATGTGGGATATAAAGAAACATAAAAGGGGAACAACAAATGCCCCAAGGAAATAGAAACTAAGACATGAAAACTGGTTTTCAGTAGGAAGCTTTGGCGGACGGGGTAATAGGACAGGGAAGAAAACACTAACAATGGCGGAAGTGGTCAACCGGGAGAAAGATGGGGTGCTCAAAGGTGATAGTGTCATGCATTATATCCTATCAGTAACAGTGACAAAAATTTATTATAAAGTACCCATCACTGAGGCAGGCTGGTGGCTGGGAGGGAAACTGGGGACACTGGTGGAGGGAATTAGATATTAGTGAAGGGACTGATGTTGGTATTCTGTAGGCCTGAAACCCAATCATGAAAAACTCTGTAATCCATAGTGACCAACTGAAAAAAAAAAAGAAAGAAAGAAATATAGCCAGATTATTCTCATTTATAAAAATGAATGTGGAGGATAAATTATTTGATGTTAAGACAAGCAGTATTCTTTGAATTGTGTTACGGTCAAACCACAGTGCTCAGAAATAGGATGATAGTTTTTCTTTCCTTAAAATCTCTGCCAACTAGTGTCTTAAGACACTATTCCTGTGGTTCTCTATATTCCAATACTTTAGACCACAGTAGGTACTCAACAAATATGGCATGTATGTCAAGAGGACTTTTTACAACATATATATAGAAACAGGATTAAATACGTTTCTTCAGGAAACTGAAAAATGCTTAAGGATCTAAACTTCCCCTGAAAAAATATACCCACTGCACTTGTTCCCTCCCCTCTTTCAGAAGCTTTCTTTCCCTGAACACCCTATTCCACCACTGGCTTTCAACATTTCTTTTTCCCTTCTGGTTTTATTTTTCTTATTGTACTTATGATTTATTACATCACATATTTTAATCACAGGTCGATTTGCTCGAGCAGGCCCAGTAACGTCTCCATTGGAGACTGTGTTGTTACTGTGTGTATTTTAATCACAGTGTCAGATTTCCACTGACATCGAAGTTCCATGTGATTTTTGTTATATTTTTTTGTTTTGTTCACTGCTGCACCCCTATACTAGGAATACTATTAAATATTTATACTTAGGAAATAATAATTGTCACCGGTTGAATGAATGAGTGGGTATATCCAAAGTTTTGTATTTCAAACAACGCAATTATCCTTAAAAATAAATCACTGTCACTGTCACTGTCCTCCCGTTGTTCATGGATTTGTTCAAGCGGGCCCGGTAACATTGTGAGACTTGTTACTGTGTCTGGCATATCGAATACGTCACGGGTATCTTGCCAGGCTCTGCCATGCGGGCAAGATACTCTCGGTAGCTTGCCGGGCTCTCCGAGAGGGGCAGAGGAATCGAACTCGGATCGGCCATGTTGGCTGCTTACAAGGCAAACACCCTACCCGCTGTGTGATTGCTGCAGCCCTGTTTATTTATTCTTTTTCCACCATAAAAATAAAATGGGGTAAAATAAAATATAACAAGGTTCTTGCTTTGAACAAGACAAATCCCAGTGAAATCTCTGGCACCATGTACAGTTCTCTAAGCCCCTAAGAGTGAGCCCTATGCACTGCTGGGTGTGGCCAAGTAAATAAATAAATAAAACTGGAGCTGAAGAGACAATACAGATGTTAAGGGTCAGGCCTTGCACATAGTTGACCCCAACTTGATGATCCCTGACACCACATGGTCCTCCAAGTATTTCCAGATGCAGCCTTGGAGGCTCCTAAGCACCTCTAGATGGCCCCTCAGAGTGAACCTCCAGTCAAATGGGAGGATGTTCACCCAGAGGATATCCCCCGCCAACACCCCACAGCAAATATTTCACAGCAGGAGACAAAATAATCCAAATCTGTTCACTGAAAATGAACCTTAAAACTCCTTTTGGTTATCAGTCAATAAATAGTTAACTTGACTTTTTTCTTTTCATTAAAAATCACTTGTCTTTCAGTGAATGTGACACAGTACACGTCTGAATCATATCAGCAATTCAGTAACAGGAATTTCCAGAACAAGGAAGTGTGGCAATAATGAGAATTTCTGTTAGTAGGCACAGTAATCAAATTAAATGGAGTTATACAGTTTTCCTTCCCCATTTGAAGGAAAAGACTTTATTTTTAAACCAGAGATAGAGGGGTGTTACTGGGTCATACGCAGAGGTGATACTTAGGAATGAACCAGGGTTGGCTGCATGCAAGGCAAGCACCTTAATCCCAGTACTATCTTTCCAGCCCAGTTGCCTTAAAAGAATCACCTGATTAAAATGATTCAGTTCTACATCAATTAACCACACTGATTAATGGTCTTAGCTAATTTCAATTGCACTTCACTCTCCCACCCCCACCCTCGCTCTCCAGACTACATTTCCATTGCTTTGGTTTAAACAAAGATTGTGTTGCCTCCCAAGAGTCTCATGATTTCTATTAGTTTGCTGAGGTCTTTGGCAAATTCCACAAAATGCCAGCTCTGGAATATATGAAACTTTACCCTACAGGATAAATCATTTCACGGAGCAGGTTGAGTCACCAGATGCCTTATTGTTGTCAAGAAGGTGATAGGCCAATCAAAGATTATTCTATTACCCTGTAAAAGTGACTGTCTAACCTCAACTGACTCTTCCGATGAAACCCCTGGCTTAAACTTACTTAACTGATAAAGATTTCAAAGTAAAACTGAACCGACACTGGTGTTGGGATCGGTGTTGACTTATTATATACTTAAAACTCAATTATAAATAACTTTGAATGTCACAGCTCTTTAAAAAATAAAAATAAAAGTACAATTCAAGTCCTAGTTACCATGGAGTATGTCATTCATTTATGCTATTGAACAGAAAACATTTTGCTTCCATTCCGATACCCTTAAAAGTCATTGGATACCCTTAAAAGTCACGGTTATCATTTTAACCAAAGAAATACCACTGCTGTCAGAATCTGATGGAACAAATCCTGTTAAGGAGGAGGAGAAGTTACTGGTGCCTGCTCGAGGCAATCGACGAACAACAGGATAATCGTGATCAGTGAAATCCTGTTATTTCAGGCCTGTGTCCCCATATATATCTCTCTCACTCTCCAAAGTCGTGTTTAAATTTCATCTCCTCTAGGAGAACTTCTCAAGCTCCTCATTCAGAAGCTCTCTCCTCCGTTTTCATAGCTGCTACTTTCTCTGAACAGTTGTTATTAACCACACCACTTACCTGTCCACCTCCAACAGGTCTAGGAGTCCATAGCATTAAATCTAAGGTTCCAAGGAATATGCCTAGCACAGCAGTTGTGGCTCGTAGCCCCCGAGATAAGTGTTGGGTTTTGTACTCCAAAAATATACCTAAAGGCAAAATTTACTCCCGCAATCAAAACTTACAGGAAGGCAACTTGGGGGTTGCTATTGTACTGGCAGAATCCTAGCTAGCACACCACCCCCAACTTAAGATTACCTTTCAGCCTCTCCAAGTCTCACCCTTTCTTCCCAGCTCAAATGCCACCAGGGCCTCAACTACTTAGCTTGTGCATAAATGCTCCACAATCTGACTGTGACTGTTGAACACTGTTTCGAGCCGCTCCAAAGAAACACTGTGGAATAACAAGTGGAATAACAAGGGGGGGGGGGGGGGGGGCAAAGTGTGGTTCAGGCTGGCACCGGCTAAATTCGCAACCTGCTGGTTAGCACTGGCGTGGCGTCTCCGGGTAAATCAGTGCGTGACATTGATCTCGGGATCTCTTATGTGTTAAACAGATGGCTACGGGGTACAGAGGGAGGGAGCACAAGCACCACCTCACCGGGGCTCTGCGACCAGCAGGGAACACTTGCCGGGTGTCAGTGCAGTTTCTCTCCCTCCCTCGAAAGCATTAGCACCGTAAACTTGCACTTAGGGTGGCGGAACCCAGAAACTAGTGGAACCTGGAGGGCGCGCCCGGGGCACACCTGCCGGATATGGATTCCCGCGGCCGCAGACGCCCCGTGGCGGCCCGGCGCCGCCCGGGAGGGGGTGGGGGGGCCTCGCCCGCGCGAGCCTCACCTTGGTGGTCGTAGACGCTAATGTAGGAGATGCCCACGGCCATACACCACACCACGAGGCTCGCGATGTCCGTGAAGCTGGGCTCCAGCTCCTCCTCGGTGACGATCAGGCCCATGTGCACGGGCAGCTTGTCCAGGGAACGGCCGTCCGCGCGCCAGCGCAGCCGGGGGTGGGCGGCGGCCGGGCCGGGTGTCCCGCGCTGGTGCCGGTAGTGGCGGCGGTTCCTGCCGACGCCCGGGGGCTTGCGGAGCGTGAAGCCGAGCGGCGCTAGGACCGCGGCGGAGGCGGCGCGGCAGCAGCGCCGCCAGATCCAGTTCCAGACGCCGAACCGAACGCGGATCCAGGAGATGAGCGTGCGGTGCAGGCAGAGCAGAGCGTGCAGCACCCGCCACACCAGCTCAAACAGCCCCGTCATACTCTCGTGGCGCCCGGGCGCCCCCTCATCCCCTCCCTACCACAGCCGCGGCGCGACGGCTTCTTATCCGGTCCTGCGGCCGGCGCGGGCCATCGTCCCGCGTTCCCCCGCCCCCCGCGCCGAACCCCTTTCTACTGCCAACACCTCACCTCGTCCCCGCCGCCATCTTCCTCCAGCCTCGGCAGCCCCACCCCCGCTAGTACATGGACGATTCTGATTGGCCGGTGGGAATTCTGACGCGACTTCGAAGTCCGAGGATGTGGCCAAGCTCACGCGACGGGGGAGGGCCTGCGGCTGCGAACTAAAATCCTGGACAGCGCCCCCTGGTTGTCTGGAGGGCGAAGAGCAAACGGCGCTTACCCTTGGCGAGCTGGACTTCACCCATACAGGTCACCGCGGTTGGAAGGGGTGCTTTTACTGACCCAGCATCTCTGGGGCTCCTAAGGGTCTCTGGACCCAAGTGGATTGAAATGACAAACGCCAGAAGAGGTGGAGAGTAGCTGTCAACAAGAAACGATGGTAGGGAACAAACTGGGTCCTCTAAGAAAGCGTCTGCAGGGGCACCACCAATGAGCAGTGTAGGGAGGTCCTGCTACTGTTTGAACCCATCTTGCTGAAGGTAATATTTTTCAGAGATGGAATGAGGCGTCTCAGTGCTGTTCTTAAATGCACTTCAGCTCACACCATTCCCTCAATGGAATCCTCCTTGGCATCCTTTGACAATCCAGCTTTTTTGCATCTAGGAGGTAGATTCGGTGTAGTTGGATTTCAGCTACAATGCTGAGTCAACGGGAGAACTTCACTGTTTGAGTCCTGTTATGAATGTAGCATTCAATCCAAAGTTTATAGACTTGTCTCTTTTCTTTTGAAATAGATCTTATTTTGTTATTTCACAAAACGGTAAACATAATACTTTATAGGAATCTGGGGATTTCATATAATCTAAAGTTTGGGATTTCAAACCATTCATAAACTCTCAGAATGCAAATTCTACCGATGTCGTAAGAAAGAATTTTACAACCTCAAATGTTAAGTCCCAGACATTGACCTTTCTCCCTTGCCCAATGTCTGCCACCTGTTCTTTTGTAACATTTAATTGGATCATAGTCATCTCTATTCATTAATTGTCTGTAGCAGAGTTGAGAAATTATAAAGACAAGGCCCCGTTGTTTAAATAATTCACTTTATATAAAAAGATGACCAACATCTAAGATTACAATTTTTTTTATTTTGTTTTGGTTTGTTTGGGGGCCACACCAGGCTATGCTCAGAAACTCCTGGCTCTGCACTCAGGAATCACTCCTGGCAGTGCTCAGGGACCATGTGCGATGTCATGAAATCTAACCTAGTAAGGCAAGCACCTTACGTGCTCTACTGTCTGCCCAGCCCTATAGGATAACGTTGCTTTGTCCTTTCTCCCTTGCCACAGGAGCTTAGATTTAACAGGTTACACGCGTCACAGTTCTCCCGAGTCACTCCCATCCCTTCATTTATCTGTAACCACTTCTCTAGGCTCTATTCCCAAACCAGTTAATCAGCTTTCCCCCTAATCAGACTCTGTTAATTTGTAAGGTCAGACCCTTCTAGGACACTGAACTTGTATTGTAAGTTAATATTGCTTTTCTCCTCTCCTTATGTCTTATGAATAGTTTAATGCAATGTCCTTTTTGTATAGATACTGGAAAGCGTTAATATCACGCTTTGTAACTTAGGATTTAATTGGCTTTGAATTTTATTCTCTCCCAGGCATCTGCTTTCTTGACTTAAGCCTCAGTTTCCCTTGGTTCCTAACACCCCAAAAGCAGGGTCCCGACAAGGGACTGAATGGACCCAGGGCAAGCGATGAACTACCCTGGCATCGAAATGAGCCAGGCCAAAGTGCCAAGATCCGTAACTATAAGTTTAGAGTTTGATCACAGACAAATGCTGTCATGATCCAAAGGTAATGATGAGATTAGGACCCTGCTAGGGAAAGGAAAGACTTTCTGGCCTGAGCACTGCAGTCTGAGATCGAGATGGCCCTAGGAGAGCAATCCTATAAAAGTTTAAGGTATTTCTTACTGCATCCATACAAAATGATTTATATTCACTTAATCACTTAACTTCCCGTTAGTCGTCGATTTGCTCGAGCGGGCGCCGGTAACGTCTCCATTTGTCCCTGTCACGTGCTAGTGTAGCCCAATGGCATCTGTTCGCTCCAGGAACATAAAGGGCCTCAAACCGATCGTTCATGATCTTGACGAAGAAGTCTGACCATCTGGTAGGTGGGTGGCCACGCGGTCTTTTGACATCCCGTGGAATCCAGTCGGTAACAGCTCTAGTCCAGCGGTCGTCTATAAATCTCATTACGTGACCAGCCCATCTGATTTTCGACACCTTGGCAAATGAGACAGCGTCCCTGATCCTTGATCGTCGACGGATGTCAGAACTCTGGATTCATTCTCTCATTTGAGTGAAACGTGATATTCCAAGCATAGCTCTTTCTATTCTTCTTTGGGAGACCTGAATAGCGTTCTCATCTTGTTTGCATAGGGCCCAGGTCTCTGAGGCATATGTTAATGCAGGAAGAACAGTGGAATCAAAGATATGTGCCCGGAGCTGGAGGTTCTTCATCGTCTTAGCTATTTCTTCGACATTCTTGAAGGCATTCCAAGCCTCTCTTCCTCCTGCGCAGCTCGGGTGCCAGGTCATTTGTCATGTTGACCTCTCGACCTAGGTACACATAGCTGTTGCATTCGGAGATGGTAGTTCCATTGAGAGCGAATGGGGCGTCAGGAACAAGGCTGTTTCTCATAAACATTGTCTTCGAAAGATTCAGCTGTAGTCCTACCTTTCCACACTCACGGTCAAAGTCGGCCAGCATTTGTGCCACATGGCTGATGTTTGGTGTTATTAAAACAATGTCATCAGCAAAGCGGAGGTGGTGTAGTTGCCGACCATCTATCTTCACTCCCATTCCTTCCCATTCCAGTCGTCGCATGATGTTCTCGAGGGTGGCACTGAAGAGTTTCGGTGAAATGGTATCACCCTGCCGCACCCCTCTCTTGACATCAACGATCACTTCTTTGTAGAATGGTGAGATCCTGGTAGTGAATCCACAATACAGCTCACGGAGGATCCTGATGTATTGGGCTTGAATGCCCTGATTGGCTAGGGCTTCAATGACCGCTTCCATCTCAACAGAATCAAAGGCCTTCTTGAAATCAATGAACGTTAAACAGAGTGGCATCTTGAACTCCCGAGAAACCTCAATGAGCTTGGTTATCGTGTGGATATGGTCGATGGTGCTGAATCCTTTGCGGAACCCTGCTTGCTCGCATGGTTGTCCTTCATCTAGTGTTCTGCCAATCCTATTTAGGATGACTCGAGTGAACAACTTGTAGATGACAGACAATAGACAGATCGGGTGATAGTTGCCAATGTCATGGATGTCTCCCTTCTTGAACAGTAGTACGGTCCTGCTGGTTTTCCATTGAGATGGAACCTTGCATTCAGACAGGTAGCGAGTGAAGAGCCGAGCCAGTGTATTGATGAGTACTGACGGCAGGTTCTTCAGGTGTTCAGGTTTGACCTTGTCTGGGCCAGGTGCTGTTTGTTTCTTTACCGACGAAATGGCATGTCGGATTTCGGAAGGGAGAACGTTGGGAACGACATATCCATCCTGTGGAATTTGGTATGTCGGCAAGTGGACATGGCTATTGAAGAGATTTGAGTAGAAGTCATGGATAATCTTCTCCATTGCCGTTCTGGAGGATGTGATGGATCCATCAGGACGTCGGAGGGCAGTCATCTTGGTCTTATAGTTGGCGAAGGACAAGCGGGCGTTACGAATACTTTTCCCGGCTTCTGCCGCATCTACCAGTACTTCTGCTCTTCTCTCTTTGAGGTCTTCCTTGATCGCATCTCTGCACTGCTTTGCGAGCTCGGACGTTAGCTTGCGGTTGCCTGAGGCATGCGCCAAACCACGCTGGCGAATTAGCTCAAGAGTTTTCAAAGATAAGCGATTTTTTGTGGCTATCTCTCTCTTGGCGTTCCTCGCACATTCATGGAGGTGCTGAACCAGTCGATCGTATTCCTCGTCAATGTTGTCAACAATGGCATCTTCCCATGTTGCTGCAATAGTACCGAAGAGTTCCCAGTTGATGGTCATTCTGGGAGTTCTCTTTTTGAACTTTGTAGCCCTTTCTCCCCGCTCTGTGAATTAGAATTTTGCACGAAGGAGACGGTGGTCCGATCCCGTTCGAAATTTTGGGACAACAGCGACATCAGTCAGGCAAAACCGTCGATTGAATATGATGTGGTCTATTTCGTTGTGGAATCGTCCACCGGGAGACTCCCATGTCCATCGTTTAGATTCTGCCTTCTGGAACTGTGAGTTACCATGAATGGTCTTGGTCGACATGATGAACTCAGACAGTCTCTCACCCTGTTCATTCCATTCTAGGCCATGGGTCCCGATGTGAAGTTCTTCAGCTGATCTTCTCAGTCCTATCTTGGCATTAAAATCACCCACAATGATCTTGTAGAAGGTGTGGTCTTCTTTATAGAACTTCTCTAGCTCCATGTAGAACTTCTCGATTTCTCTTTCATCATAATGAGATGTTGGTGCGTAGACAACGAAGATAGAAACTGCAGGCAGTGAGCCACATCTATTCAAATGTAAACGTCCGATTCGGGTTGTTAGGCATTCGAATGAATCAATGCTCTTGGCCAAGTTTGTGTTGACAAGGACACCGATGTCTCCAACTCCTCTTTTATCGCATGTTCTGAGGAACAGTTCTTCTCCAGTGTCGAAAATGGCATGGTGAGATTCGTGCCTTCTTGTCTCGGTCAGACCAATGATGTCGTACTTGATCATTCGCGCTTGTACCATCAGGTCCTCGATGGATGCATCTGATGCTAGCGTACGTGCATTGAAAGTACAGACGATCATTTTTGTCTTCCTTTGTTGTGGCAGCCTAGGTCGGCCTTGAGATTTTGTCGGCCTCTCCTTTCTCATCCTTCTCAGTGCTGCCATGTCGGTGAAGCCTTCAGGGTTAGGTGAATGAGACCAGTTGTAGTTACTCGTTTTGGCATATCGAATACACAGCGGATAGCTTGCCAGGCTCTTCCGTGAAGGCAGAATACTCTCGGTAGCTTGCCAGTCTTTCCGAGAGGGATAGAGGCTT